ATGTTTTTTACCAGATATATATATTTGATCGATTTATCGAGCGCCAAACTGTTGGCTTATAAGACAGTGCTAGTAGTTTTCTTTAAACACCAGATAACGGCAACATGTGAATACAACAGACATGAGAAAGACCTTCAAAAAATCTCCAATTACACTAAAGAAGTTTGGTATAACATTCTGATTCTTCAAAACATTAACGTTCTCCACTCAGTTCCTATGAGTGTGTGTTTAAATTTACTTTGTTTTCATTTGTTTGTTTGTTTGAAATTAAGCACAAAGCTACACAATGGGTTATCTGTGCTCTGCCCACCACGGGTATCGAAACCCGGTTTCTAGCGTTGTAAGTCCGCAGACATACCGCTGTGCCACTGGGGGGGCTTTTTGTTTTCATAGCACGTATTGTTTGTTTGAATTTCGCGCAAAGCTACACGAGGGTTATCTGCGCTAGCCATCCCTAATTTAGCAGTGTAACACTAGAGGGAAGGCAGCTAATCATCATCACCCACCGCCAACTCTTGTGCTACTCTTTTTACCAACGAATAGTGGGATTGACCGTCACATTATAACGTCCCCACGGCTGAAAGGGCGAGCATGTTTGGTGGGAGGGGATTCGAACCCGCGACCCTCAGATTGCGAGTCGAGCACTCTAACCACCTGGCCAGTACATGGACTACATCGTAACAGTTACCAAAATATTGGCCTACCATTCAGGCGTTTAGTATAAGCTTGAATCGACCGAACGTATTTAAATATATAGTACCAATTGATATAAAAAAAAACTCAATCCTATTTAGATCTAACTATATTTTCTAATATTTAAGTATATTTGTTCCAACCAACAAAACAAACAGACAAAAGTTATCATTGTTCGCTCGTACATGACAAGAAAGGATCATAAAATTGGATAAAAAGTACAGAATACAAACGCTACAAGAGATACGCCCTCCATTGGCCTCTCGTACGAAAATAAATTACAGACTAGAAATAGGAATAGGCGTGAGTGTTAACTTCATGATCTTCCTCGTGTACAACTATCACTAGGCATTTACAGTTAACGTCAGGTATTTGCTCCTGGTGAATCAGAATAGAAATAATAACTGGAATTAATAGAAATGATATGCGTTGTTAAACAAGTTAACAATCACAACCACTGAGAATGATAAGAGAAACAACAACGGATGATATCCCAGCCCCAGATGACTGCAATCAATACGAAGGAGAATAGAAAATTGGACTCTGCTCATAAATTTAATAAAGTAATACAATACTCAACCTCATCAACACGCTGTTAAAATGTGAACTCAGTTGTACAAATACGCTTGTATAAATAGGCGTACTGCCTAACATGTACACCTAAGGTTTAACACGACGCACGAGTACAGCATTTGGTTGACATCATCATCATGTCGACAGACATACAGGTAACTAGGTATCATATATAATATAGACTGCAATTGCGGGCTTTCATGTAGTATATACAATATTCTGAAGCCACATAAAGGACTTTGTTGTAAATACGTGAAATATTCTCTATAAAAATAAACCCTCTAACAGCGTATAATAACATTAGATAAGTTGTTTTTTAGTGTTATTAAACACTCTTTTAAAACAATAAAATATAATATTCAATTAGAGGGTTCAAAACGCAAGCAGTGACGAATGAGTAGACAAAAGCATAGATATCACTCTTGTTTAAATAAAACATCGAAAATAATTCATCCTGACAAAGATAAAAGCCTTCTAGTTATATGTATCCCGCTGACAGAGGTTCATTAATTTTCTAAAAAAACAAAAAAAAGTATTATTATCAGCAAAACGAGCATTATTGTCTGCAAGCGAAGTCCAGTGTTGTCAAATCAGACTCAGCACAGAGCAATATATATTGTGAGTGTAGAAAGTAAAGCAGTGTTATCCAGGAGAACGGTATAATCGAAAAACTAATATCCATTACTATTTAACATGACAATAACATTATAGAAAAGGGCAGTATTATCTGGAGTCTAGAACTGGAATGCGTATACCTTATTGGAAGATCGATATACAATGAACCGCGGTGGTGGTTCATAATAGGGATCGCAAGAAATTGCACAAAACTCTTAATAGAACATTCGGGAAAAAAACACTTTAAACAGTAAAGATTCAGTTCAAACAACACTTAAAACCTTCACTATGGGCTGCTAATGCTGTACACATAAAATGTACAAAAATGCATGCATATTAGACTTAGAACGAAAAGAAAATCCGCTGAAAACAGCCCGTTTGTAATTCTTCTTCTTACTATTATTATTCTCTTGATAGCCTACAACAAAAACCGCTTGGTATATTATACACAAACCTTTTATAGAATACTAAATAAGGTGCTACGAAGGTCGTAGGGGTATTAAAAAGTCGATTTGTTTCCTCTATATTTTACACAAGCTAAAAACCATCATAATTCTAGTTAGTTTTTTACAAACATCTAGTGTTCCTTTAAAACGCTTAAGTACAGGGTGAAACAGGAGTTACCAGCCAATAATATATGAACATTAAATAACTGTAACATGTAGAATATTCATTGCTTTTTACACTATACAATCGGTGTCTTTAGGGGGCCAACCCAAAAATTATGTATGAAGTGAAGGAGTAAAAAAAATATCAATACACATAATATTAAATTTTATTATACACATTCGTAGAATAACTACCTTAAGACATACAAAAGAATATTTAAAGTGTTGTTTTAGACGAATATGTTCTATTTGAAAAGGCTATTTTTCTACTGGTAAAATTTTATACGCGTTTAGAGGGGGGTTGTGTCTTAGTCTAGGCATGTATTTGTCAATTGCTATGAATTATATACAGAGAATCTAGTTACACAGGAACTATAAATGTTCACTATATTCTTAAAAAAATCTCCATGACAATCTCGAATTAATGCGATCATATAGCCAATAACTACAGTAAATCATCATGAACCGTATCGGCTAGCTACTAGCTATGTTCATTATCATTAGTGTATAAAGTTGGCTACCATAACAAGTAATCCTTTGCCCATAGGTGAGCATAAAAACCAGAAAACAAGATAAATTTTAAAAAGTGCAAGCAGGGATTGTAAAACAAATTAAGTAAACATGGTTGGAGAAACTGTGGACATTATTTACTCAAACTACAAATCCTATTTTGACTCCACTAAATATAATTCTAGGTAAAAGCATGGTAAATTATGTGTGCCATAAATAACTTGGCATTAATTCCTTAAGAAGATGTGAAGACTTATGAAGATGTCTGTTTTAAGACTGTTTATAAAAACAGTAATGTGTAATAGTACAGATTGATAGTTTCAGTACAACCAAATTTCAGTTTGATCGAGAGATGTCATTATTTTATCAGTCATGAACTGAATTTATATAAAGCTATATTTCAAAAGCCTGATATTGGACAGTACTTTATCTGAAAATCACAGTGAACTGGTAAATTCATTTCTGCGAATATGTAATTAATAAAAAAAACTCGATCCCACGTTGGTACGTTGTTTCACCAACAAATGTTAAAATCTTACTCAGAAGAAAAGTGAAAATTTTGACATTTTTGTGTGCTCGCAATTTGACGAAAACAAATCTCATCAATTCTATGAAAATTAAAGGTCAACGGACACTGATATAATATTAAACTGTATCAACGAGCTACAATTCGGGGTTCGATCTACGCGGCGGGCACATTGCAGATAGCCCAATATTCAGTTTTGTGCTATATATATATATATACAAAACAAAACAAACATAGATAACTAAAACTGTTAGCAAAATGAGCCAAGATCTACATAGGGGAAAAAAATAGATACGTCAGTTCAAAGTATCAACAGGGGCAGGGACATAAGGTGATGATTCATGTCGCCTGTCCCTTTAGAATACAAAGCGATATTGAATACAACCAAAGCAAAGGTGGTGTTAGGTTCCACATTCAATTCATCAGAAAGTTACGATTTATGTAAGGCGTGTGTATTCGTCTATTAGGCAAATGCTTTCTCTTCAACTTTAAATATTAAAACTGAAAGCAATGGTCGCTTGATGTGCAAGATTTTTACTGTTAAGGATAACATAAAAATAAAATTTCCAAAAACCACTAGTACCTGATAAATGAATTGTTTTTGGAATAAGTGGAAAACAGATAAATGGCAGTTACTTTAATACCATCAGAACCAATTTTATAGAATTCGTTTAAATATTTATTCAAGATATTTGCTACAACTTATAGATCGTCATTTTTAGTTACCAATATCACAAAACAGTTGATAAAAACACTAAACTTACATAAATATACATAAACTTGTATATCTTTGGCTATCAAAATGAAATTTGATAAATATAATACAATTTCTGATGATAGTTACTTAATTTCGCCAGAGGACGCCACGTATTATCTTAGGGATCCTACATACCATACTTCAAGGTTATTTAAGAAGAGCATATGCATAGATATATACAAGTATATACCATAGAGTAACGAGTAAATGGTCTAAGCTCACCCAAATCCTTGTGCTGTATAGTTTCTATTATTTTAATAGCAATATAGTTATAAATCAATATAATTCAATTATAAACTACATTGTTTGTTAGTTTCGAAGTTAAGCACAAAGCTACACAATGGGGTATCTGTGCTTTGCCCACCACGGGTAAAGGAAACCCGGTTTCTAGCGTTGTAAGTCCGCAGACATCCCGCTGTGCCAGCCACAGAATGAAGCATAAATCATGTCAGGTTGATTACGAGAGTATTCGTTAAGGGACTGTCACACTGTCTACACCCGTAGTAAAAAGCTGATTTTTAAAGTAACTCGTTTTGCTTAAAGAGAATAAATGACAAAAATATTTGTTATGCATATATAAAAAGTATCACATGTATAAATTAACATATACAATATAAGAAGACAGTACCTAACTGTTGCATAATTAGTATATATGTAATATATATTATCAATTAAATTCAGTCAAACAATTTCCAATTTACAAACATTCTAGACTCACCTGGCCATATTCCTTTTCTATATTTGCTCTTGTCTTCATGAAGTTTCTGTAAGATATAGTATATAATTTGAAGTTTTCTGATATTTTTTTATGAACTAGTTAGAACATAGCACACAAACACTGACACCTAGTGTTGAAACTGATATAAGTGTAATTCTTGCTCTAATTCGTTTGTTTGTTTGAAGTTAAGCACCAAGCTACACAATGGGCTATCTATGCTCTGCCCACCACGGGTATCGAAACCCGGTTTCTAGCGTTGTAAGTCCGCAGACATACCACTGTGCCACTGGGGGGCGCTCTAATTCGTAAACACAATTCTGTATAATAGTGCTCTGCAGATATTTATGAAAATCACTTTACTTACTTATAGTAATTTTCAACGTTAACGTTAAAACTACTTGAATGTTGATGTTAATTTAAAGACTTTTATTTTATATTTTAATTTGAAACGTTAACAATAACTTATTTTGTAACCGGAGTATTTTTAAATTTCCAAAATACCAAAAAAGAAAAAAAAAATTAAAATTGAAAAATAAAATCTATATATATATATTGTATCAAATTTGTTACTCTTCAAAAAAGCGTTTAGTTGTTTTCTGGTTTGATAGTTTTTATAGTGAATAGTAGTTACTCTTGTTACGTTGTTAATGACGAATTGGGTAAATAAAGAACAACTTCTGATTTAAAAAATGATTCGAGTTTTCTTATGGATATTAATCTTGATGTGATAACACTGTGAATCACATTCTATAGAGCCCCAGTGTAACAGCGGTATGTCTGCGGACTTATAATACTAGAAACCGGGTTTTGAACCCGTGGTGGGCATAGCACAGATAGCCCTTTGTGTAGCTTTGTGTTTAATAATAATAACGACAAAACAATCTATATATATATATAGAGAGAGAGGGGGGGGGTAGTACTTAAATAGTCAAGCAAAATCAAAAGGAAGGACTGCGTTAAAAACAGCAAATCCAAACCTGTGATAAATAACATTTAAATAAACAAAACTAAATTAAAGGACACTGTATAAATTAAAAGCATCCCCAGCGTACAAGCTATAAATGTGGGATAAAAAACGTGTCCCAAGTTTTGGAGGTGACTGCGGAAATAGGACCCACATTGCGCTGGGAATACGCCGTCTATCAGTCTTAGCCTCCACTCACCAGTCTCACATGGAAAACTTTATAAAAAACAAAACAAATAAAATCATCAGAAGAAATACATGTGGTTTTTCGCTAGCTTGTTTCATTTAAAAGATGCGCACGCGTATGCGCGCGCACGCACGTGAATAAGTAATAATACCCAGGTGCACAGCCTCAGGGTCCACTTAGTATGAATGCAAAATTTCAGGTTTCTAGGTTATTTGCTCTTGGTGCTATGGCGGTCACGCAGACACGCCCCTTTATTATTATAGATAGTTCTGCACGAGTTCCTGGGATGCACGAGTCTCCAACTCAAGATTCAAAAGCAGTATTTCTTTTCGATTGTGTAACATGAAAATACCTTTTTTAACATTGGCTCTTGTAAGTGGTTTCGCTAATATACGTACGTGTTTGTATCCTTGTGGTATACTTGTATCAAGTTTAATTTACTATATAGCCTTTATTTTAATATGTGAATACTTTAAGTTCTCTGTGTACAATAAACAGTTTTTTTTTCTGTTGCACATCTGTGATATGTCACATTGTAATACATGTATATTTTTATTTTTTCTATCTATAATGAACACTTGTATTTTTTTGATACACGTCTGATTTCTGCCACTTAAACCTTTCAATTCGTTCTTACTAACAAAATCCACGAACCCCCTTTTTCTTAGATTCTAACGACCTGTTGAACAGTTAATTGTGATTAAGGTTACCGTATCCTACTAGTTAACAGGAATTACAGATATCATACAAAATCTAATAAAGCCACAAATGACCAGATTCCAGATGGAATGCCAGGCTCACTATATCATACGTCAAAAGTCAATATTTTCCTATTAAACCCATGCAAAAACGCTTGAACTTCGGTTCGAACGATCTAGTTATTCTAATATACATGCATCACTAACTGGATTCAATATATTCAAACCTGAGCTTAAATTAACGGTGTCTAGCATGGGCTAGTGCTAAGCCAGCCCGAACTATAAATCCAAGGGTTCACGAATCGCGTCTTATTGTCTCAAAAACGCGCTCCGCACTTTAGGGCTGTCGGTTTGCTAAAAGAGTGACGGACAAATCCCACAATTCGGTCAGACAATAGTAGTCCAAAAGTTGGCGGTGGGTGTTATTTTGACTAGCCGCCTTCACTCTAGTCTATTATTACAAAATGAGGGTCAGTCATATACATAAAGCCCTTGAGGAAAATCTACACAAACATTTTCAACTCTGATATTCAAAAGATTGTTTGTTTGTTTGTTTGTTTTTTGAATTTCGCGCAAAGCTACACGAGGGCTATCTGCGCTAGCCGTCCCTAATTTAGCAGTGTAAGACTAGAGG